TATTGTAAGAAATATTTTTTACGCACAAAAAATTTTATAGGTTTGCAACCGGATAACCACTTTTGCAGGATTTTATAATCATTCTTACTTTTCAAATATAGAAACGCTATTACAGAAAAACAATATTCTAAAGATTATATGTGGCAGTGGTAGTGGTGTTCTATGTAATACCAGAAAAACAAAGAAACAATTGAAGGCACATGCATCGCACATGCCGCACATATGTGAAAAGCATCCAATTGTTTAAACATGTGTCTTAGAGTTCTTCGCAAACATTCTGTGAGGTGCTGACGATAACAATATATACGTTTATAATATAAGTAGCAGGGAAGAGTATTTTTAGCATTTCATCATTTGTTAAAATTTCTTTGTTAAAAAACCAAAGTACTTCATACCGAAGTCTTTTTACACAATACGACAATCGCATTTCGCTCTGTGTCTGCCCTAAAAATGTATCTAATACTCTATTTCTTTGCAGTTTGCGAAAATTTAAAATTTCCAGAAACAAGCAAAATATTGGCTAAAGACTTATGCTTTTAACAGTTAAAATTTTCATTATTTTCGCTACGAATTTGAAATATTTTGCAGATTGAATATGATGTAGGTTTTCGGTATACGCAAAACGCATATCAATTTATGTTTTCAACCGAAAATTTCTTAGTAAGCCATATATATCACATATCACGCCAAACAACATCGTCAACAACCTGTTGCAGCAAATTCGAGTATAATGGGTTTGTTGCGGTCAAGTGTTTCACTTATATGTTGTTTTGCTATGGCGTAGTGCAGTTAGGTAAGATTGAGCTTTGCCTAAGAAAACTAGTTTACAATTTACAATTTACAATTTTTATTTTCATGAAAATTTTTTTTTGAGATGGACTGAAGATAATATGCACAAACCTCTACTTACCATAGCGCAATTAGAAAAAATTCAATCAAATAGTGTACTTTTAATAATGCGCTGACTAATTCTTCAGTTATTGTATTGATTCAAATGAATTTAAATTGCTTGATCTTATAGGTTACCGTATACACCTGATTTTATACTAGTGCTGTTTATTTCGAAACACATCATTTTAATTTGCACAAATAATTGGAAAAGTCCAGACTATATGAATGCTTTAAACTGTTCAATTCATGCTAAATTTACAAATATTTGCATTTGCGAAATAGTTCAAATATTATTCATACTTCATGAAACCTACAAACTTTTTCTAAAAACTCCTAATCTGCAATATATGAAAATGTTCACAATCTTCTTGGTTCCGAAGCGAATCTGTGACAAAGCAACTGTTACTAAATGTACATATCTTTGCATTTGTAACAAATTTATAGGATTAGTACGCATTCAAACATGTTCAGAGATTGACTGGGTGCAATTAAAACTAGTTTTCTGTTTGCACGCGAGAGCAGAAATATCGCGACCATTGGTATGCAGTTCTATATAAAAACAATAATCAAGTCGCTGCGAGAGCGACACAAAAGCACAAAGCCTTCCTTGAACTGGCATTTCAACATTATCCACACGCAATGTCGTTGACTTTCATTTAAATTAAATGATGTAAAGGTGCTGGTAGTAGATTTTGCATTCAAATAAATTTAAAAAATATGCAACAAATACTTGACTATCTAGTAAAGTAAACTAAGTTTTTTTAATATATGAAAAAATTTCCTACTTTTTCAGTTATTTATACAATATTATATAATAACTCCATTTTAGATAAACCACATACTGAATTGCATCATCCTAGCGCATGTGGTGGGGTGGGCAAGCAGATAATTATCAACACAAAATCTTGCTATATATCATTTCTTAGAAAAGTTCTGGATAGAATTTCAACAATTTCGGAAAGTATTGTATATTATTTACTTCATTGTTGAAATAATAAATAAATCATAAAAAAAATGTAATCATTATTTAAACATATTTTAAACTGAATCCTTCTTTGGTAGACCAAGCGTTACGGAATCAGTTTGGAAAATTTTCCTAAAAATCAAGCAGTAATTTTTACTTTCAGTTAAATAATGTCAATTAGTTAAACTGCTGCAGATTGTTATAGAACTCACAAAGTCACCACTTTATCGATTTCATACATACAGAGATTTTTAGAAGATTTTAGGTTAATGAACTTGTTTTATATGTCATAATGAAGAAGCGATAATGGTGTAAAAGTCTGTGAAGAATATAAATATGTAGTCTCTAAAACTATATCAATTGTTCTATAGGCAGTAAATTTGTTAATAAACCTTAACAAATACACAACACTCCAAGTTAGAACAATACAAGCCAAGTCTGACCCTGAGCTTCAAATTTGACAGGGTAAAAAAAAACACTGATTACGAGTATATGGCAATATGATCAGCCAAAAATTGAATTAATTAAAAGTGAAATTTTCTTATTTCAATTCTGTTCAAAAACCTTTTTATTGAGAAAATAATCGAATTTTATAATCGACTTTAAAAATTGAAATTATATATAAATATAAAAATTTTTTTATTATTCTAATGGAAATATGATTATTACTCTAGACTTGTGATCGATGGGATATAACCCTAACCATTCTTTTTTAAGATCAAGAAACTTTGAAACACTAGATACATATGACTTCGCTGTCAATTGTTTTTGAATTTTTTATTTGTTTAAGATTTTTATTGCAATTTTCTTCCTCATTAATTTTGTTGTTTTGTTTTATACAAAACTGGATAAAAACCTGTCATTCTGCTCTTTAGCAGATGTAATCACTGCTGTTGCAATATGTGAAGTATTTTAATATACATTGAAGCACACGAATATTCACAAACACTTAGGTATATGCTGATTCAAACGTACGCATTTAAGTGTTGCATATTACAAGTGCGGCTAAAGTATCTAAATATTTCCTCCAAGATTATTAATATGGTTTGTTTCTTTTATTGTTTTTGTCCGTTCGTTTGTCCGTTTATTCTCGATTGTAACTTATCGGTACGCATTCTCATGAGCGGTAAGGTTTCAAATTTATGCATAGGTCCTGCATTTCTTTAATCCTGCTAGACCAGATATATCTAAATTAATAAACACTTTGTACATTTAGACACAAATAAAAATATTAACATTTGTCTCTTTACTTCTTCGAAGTAGTTTTCAACCAACCAACAGTTGCATATATGGGATGCTTGAATTGGTTTCGCTAATATAATTAGAAACTGGTTTACTTGGTTATTGCACTTGTTTGTATATATCAAAGTTTATAGCCAACAACAATTACGAAATGTCACTCATTGCGTATGAAAATTTGCTGCTACTGTCAAAGTTGAATTTAAACCAATTTTATAGAAGCACAATATACTTCCGCTTCACTACTTATCTGGCGATGAAATGGCAGATATTCGTTGATATATTTGTGTTCAATATAACATGAAGAATAATACAAAGGAACTTTATTCATAAAATATTCCTAAATAAGGATCTTTGCGTGCAATTGCAATATGATATATATGAAAAAAGACATCAGTACTCAATACGTTTTGCCGTCACACATTGTTTTAGTTAACTTTCTGTAGAACTTTCTGTAGAACTTTGCGTACGAATATTTAAATACTTTTATTGTGTTCTGGTGCTTTCTTAAGTTAAATACAATAAGACCTTTTGTTTATTATTATTACAAATAGGCTGTTTTATTTTTATTTACAATATTCCACAGCAGTTTATTTCCAATATTGTGTTCATTCATTTAAAGAAAATTATTAACAATCACTTGCCTCTTAAGTTCGCAGAGTGCAATAGTACCAGACTTGCCAGCGCGCGTTAAATCCAAGTTTGTCTTATAAGTGGAACACCTGTTCCGATCATTGCTTGTGTACACTTGCATTGCGATTCATTTCGCTTGGAAATTTTCGCCTTTGGTTTTATCTGTTATAATGATTGTGCCTGATAGATACCCAGCCAGATTAAACAAGGGCTGACGTGAGTTTCAAAACGAAATTGAAAAGATAGCTTTAGATATGTAAATCTCAACTGTTTATTACAGATGGACAATTTTTGCTTTAATATATTTAATTCCATTGCTATAGCAATACCAATTGACATTTGAAAATGAATTTTTTACCATTTACTAGCTAATTTTATTTCAACTAATCGTCGATAGAAAATAGAATGCAAAAATAAATTGTTTAAAGTATGAGTTCAAGTCAGCGCAGTACATGCCCCAGCCATAGTATGTGTTGAGCTTTCATAAATGGGGCCAATATTCTAACTAACTTAACTAACTTCATCGGATAGTCTGTTTTCTGTCTGGACCCACAAAAACTGAAAATGTAATTTGCATATTTGCCATTTGAAAGGATAGACAAATACAACAGACTTAGAAAGAGAAACTACTGTTTTGATTAGTTGATCAAGGGTATTCATGAACTCAAAACTTAAGAGTTTATACATAAACATGATGATATAGTCGTATTACTCAAAAATCTACTTCTGCTTGGCTTGAAATTGCAAATTATTAAAATTGATGTTAACATTTTATTGAAAGTAATGTATTAGTAAAATAATGATCTATGCCGAGAAATACTAAATTTAATTACATCGAACTTGCTAAAAGATGATATCTCACATAATGTACCTTTGATAAGTTTATTCGAAATTAAAATTTATAATTGCATATTCTATGCAGTCCTTTAAAATATATAGTCCAGATATGGAATGAATAATACTATATTCATATTCTTATATTCTTAACTTGGCTTTCTGTACAATTTAAGTTTATTACAATTTATGTACAGTTCATGTAATTTTCTGTTCATACAACTAAAAAAACGTTTCTATGGAAATAAAAAATCAACTGCTGGGTCGTAGAACTCAAGATGTCAGATTGCACGCTGAGACCGCTTCAGACAGGAATATTGTTATATCAATATACCAAGTAAGATAATCCAGTCTTATTTTATATAATGTTATTTCAAGTTTTAATTTAAATATATTAAGTTCAGAGAGAAAGTAAATAACTTTTTTCAAATTAACTTACCTCAAATTTTAAGATCCCTATTTATATGCGCAACTTTGATGAAATTTGAGAAGTGTTTTATAACTGACTAGGTAAGTTATGACACATTATTTAACGTAATTACTTAATACATATGTATGGCACTTTTAATTGTGTATATGAATTTTATTTCTTATATACTGCTATTATTATTCGTACTGTGTTTTAAATGAATTTTCATAATTAGTTAGTATATTAGAGGATAAAACAAGTTCTGAAACGAATGCTGCAAAAACAAATAAGTTCGCCACAATCTTATTCTAACTACTTCAGTCCAAAGACTTCGCAATTTATTTGGCAAAACCTCTCAATGTTTATTTTACTCGTTAAAATAAAGGATTCTTTCGATTTTTTCTCTTGCAAAAGTGAACGCGCGGAAAGTCGTTCATTAAGGTGCACTGGGCTCACTTTTGAAGTGTTGCCCGCAAAGTGCTCGTGTTCATAAGCGGTACGCTATAGATTAATTTGTGGCCCAGAGTTATTGTAGCAGTTGAGCTTAAATTTGCAAATGTTCATGCAAACAATAAAGCCAACACGTGCACGAGCATCCTCTTGTTCAACTCAAACTTAAGTCTTGCCAGTTGTCCTCTTGAGCACACTTAATTTTTTGTTATGAAAATAAGAGTGGGGAAAATAATTTTACAAAAAATGTTGGCCATATAATAAAAATTGAGTAACAAATATATGTAATAAAAAGTAACAAGCTACTTCTAATTGAGTTGCCTTTCCTTATATTCTTACTTTTGCTTATTGCGAAAATTGCTTTGTTTAATTGCTGCCGCCGACCCAAAGGAGTGATCCTTGAATTCTACTCGTAGCATGAAAGTATATAAATGCAATATGTGTATAAGGTATATAGTTGAACTCTTAGATGGAACTTTGAATACTTTTTTACAGAAAAGTGTGTTATTAATCATTATTTAACATTTAATCATTTATTTAGATACGGAACTCGCTAAATGAACTCGTTTCGTCATTATTATCTAGTATAAATATATGGCTTTAATAGGATTCCATATCCTCTACATCGTAAACAAAAACCGACCAAATCTTATAATTTGTTTTATTTTAAATAGTGTGAAAAGCATGATCGAAATATAAAAATTTGAAACTCAAATATACTTTGTTGAATTCTAGTTACAATAATTTATTATTGATAATGACTTGAACTAATGGGTCAAATATATATATATATATATACATAAAATTTTCTGAACTATTTGATAAAGCATTCTCTAACAGAGCAATTCCAATTTTGATTTGAAAGTTTATAATTAACAAAACTAATTCCTTTAATAAAAACTTATTTAATATTTTTTGTGTTTTTATATTAGCTGGAATGTATTTGTTGCACCAAAAGAGAAAGTTAAAATATATTTTAAATAATGTACATATTTTTTTATTTGATCTACTTGTATATATACATGGATTGATTAATTCACTTATTACTATCCGGTCGCTAATAGTGTTAGAAATAATTATTGCCAGAATATTTTGCTCTTCCTATCAACTGTCTACGCTTGCGGCATTGCGATAGGCAAGCTTCTGTTCTGGTTTCTTACGTTTTTTCATGATTGTTAGTTTTTTTTCGAACGCACGGTTTATATCGCAAAATGTGATTTTAAGTATTTTCATTTTTACTACCCGAAAAAATAGTAAACAGCACAAATAAATTCAACTTAATACAAATAATTTTAGCGTATAAACTTCCCGCAAAACCTCTCTCGCTACTCGCTGAAATGTTACTGAAATGTGCGCTCAGCATCTATCGTAATCCTCTGTTGTGTTGGAATAAATATCAAGCACAACAAAGACAAATCTTAACAGCAAACAGCAAACAACAAACGGCAAACAGTAAACAGTAAGCACGATGTGCGTCGACTATGTACAACTCGATTTCATTGCATGCAACACATAAAGTTAGATATTTAGTTTGACTTCACATTGTGCGTTTGTTGTTTATTCGTATGTTTGTGCTTACCAATATGATTACATAATCCTAATCCACAACTACTCTACAGCGAACTTGTGTAGTGTAAGGCGACATGTTATACATTCAAGAACAATTAAAAATTGCTTGCACTCATCACTACACGAACAAAAGCTTAAGCAATGGTAAATTAGAATTCCAGCAGTAATATTTTGGGATATCTGTTTGCTATTACTACTTTAGAATCATCTAACTCTTATGTGTTTGGCAATTTTAAGAGTACATTTTGCGAGAGAGATTGGGAAGCATTTCATTTCTCTACTTTTCAAAAGAGAAATTTAGTTGAGTTTGTAACCAATCAGAATCGTTCAACAGCTCGTTCATGCTACCACCAATGACTTCGCTTATATTGTTTGTTGATTCATCAGACAATTCATCGGATAATTGTTCGTTTATTCGTTCATTATATGTACGATTTTTTTTATGTAGAGGCATAAGCTGTGACTTTTTTTACTGGGAACAACTTATAACACACCTATTGTTAAATATATTCAGATTGGTTTCAAGTTGTATATAAATAGCAAATGGAACAAAGCATTTGAATGCAAGTCTTGCTTAGATGTAATTGTTTTTTTGATTATGTTCATTATTTTCAATGTATTGAATATTTAATATTTATTAAACTAAACAAACATTTCCACATATTATTTTCAAATTACCCTAATATGTTATTTTTATTTTACCATGCTTTGACCATTATTATTTATCGATGACAGATGCATATAAGATAAGGTGAATTCAGTACTGAACAATATAATTAAATCTATAAAGTAGATTTGGCAGTGACACTACCAAAATTTTATTGAACTAATAAATTTAATAATTATAAAAAAACAGTTTATTGGATACCATCTTTAGTAAGGATTCCATGTTTTTGATATAAACTCGGTTCAAAATGATGACAGAAATTCAAATAAATATAAACAAATTTTTAGACTAGATAAGTATTTTTACAACGAATATCAGAATTTTCTGAATTCTTAATACTAAAATTTATTGATTTCACATGTATTTTGACCTTTTCTTTGTTTTTAGGGAACAAAAAAGTAGACAATATAATTATTGTTTTTGTAAAGAAAATAATTTAATAAAAGCACACCCTTTTAGTATATAATTATAGGTAAAATTAATTTTTTTAATCTAATTCTTTTATTATTTAACCCTTAAGATGATGTCAATTAACTAATCAAAATAAACTGATAGCGAGCTACAGTGAAATTAATAAATTTTTGATCTATGCTATCTACAGCAGGGCTGTTCAAAGTACTGCTCGTGGGTCATATGCGACCCGCGGCTCATGTTTGTGTGGCCCGCGACATGCTTTTAATCTACTGCAATTACGCAAATTTTCTTTTCGTGTACTGGTAAAATCACATTATTTTATTTTTATGGTTCACCAAATAAATGAATTTATATTGATAAATTAATAAAACTAAATTTGACATTATAACCGTATTTTTGTTTTTGTCGAAACCTATCTAGTGTGGACAGCCCTGATCTATAGTTTCTACTAGATAAATTTAAGAAAATCACATATGTTTGTGATATGAATTATTTAATTTTTACTCGCAATTATTTCAATATTGACATATAACGGATAGCTGCCTAAAATTAGATAAAATAATGAAAACAAACTATTTCAAATTTAATATTTAATATTAACAATTCATTAACATTTTGGGTTGGCCGTTCAGCTGTGTTGAACGTTGGAAAATATTTTTTCCTTTCCTTTTTTTTATCTATTTTTTTAAAAATATATGACTGGTTACTAAAAGACATTAAAAAATATTTAATAATTCAAGATATAATAAAAGTTATAGAACATTAAGTTGTGTTGTTGCCAATACAATGTTTACATTCATTACTTTACTAATCTTCATTTGCATTCTAAAGCTATTTGTGCATTCGAAAGTCTGTTGAACAAAGTTTTCCGTCGAATGTTCGGGCTACCACTCCCTATTTTTCAAAAATAAATTTGAATTTACCTTAACAATATCTGACTGAACTTTGTGTCCAATAGGGCCAACACTTTGTACCGTGGTACAGAGGCCTTATGAGACCAGCACCCGTACCAGATATTACCGCGGCTAAAAAGAGAAATTGCTGCCTATTCAGAATGTATATTTATACAGTTCATGTTTTATACAGAATATGTGAAGCTTTGTCCAATCAAAATGTTATTACTTTAAAAATTAAATCTAAAATTTCCATAGCAGAGAGGTAAAGAGAATATAACTTACATACGTAACCACACAAAAACTCTTTAAATACGTTTCCTCATTATGTAAGCAAAACTTTATTAAAATAAAGATTCTGTATTCTTTTTACCACAATTTCAATAGTAATAACAGACTTTTCATTAGAAATCGGCAATTCATCTTTAAGTATCATACGAGTAGCAGAAATAAGGAGTGGAAAGGCCTTTAAAAAGAATTTTTTCTGCAGTGAGTAGCCACTACACATTTGTATTTTTTACTATCGCTTTTTTACTCCTTATGAGCCAAAATCAAAGGCCTTACCTTTAAAGGATCTTTAAAAAGCACGGCAGCACAAGTTCTGAAAAAGGCATGTCATAGTACGTTCCCACTGCTTAAGCACATTACTTGCTAAGTAATGTTACGACACTTTTTCGGAAGCGTTCAAATATTGAATTTTGCTGGCGTATTCTTAATTTATATTCGCTTTGACAGACTGCTTAATAAAAGATGTAATTTTACGATATTGTCAAATGTTTTATTTCCTTGTTCACTTCTAATTCAAAATTAAAAAAAATATTCACTTATAATTCAAAATTATTTTAATAAAAAAATTGTGTTATTCAAGCGCGTGGTTTTTATTTTCCTTCGTTGGCGTCGGTTCATGTAAGTAGAAGACTTCTGACAGGTCCTGGGACCGTCTTCTCCTTCAAAATGAATGAAACTTTATGAAATGGATTTAATTAATTGGTTGAATAAACTAGGTCAGTGAACTATTTTGGCTAAACGACCAGGATAATAAATTATAAATAATTTGACTGAATCAGCCAAGTTTTGGTTTAATTAACCAGTTGGCTGAATGAGCCAGCGTACTTGTCGCTTACAAAGTAAAAACACAACTCAT